GCAACAATGTAGGTCTCAGTGCTGGACAGGGTGATACATTAAAATATCCATATAATAATAATAATTATTATTATTTCATATATTTGCATATTCCAGCCTGATGTCTAGTGTCCATTGCTGAAAATCTAAATGACAGCAAATACCATAAAGTTTCCAGAACCTTCCTCATTTTACTCATCGACCCTAGCAACGTTCTGGATTGTGCAGTCTGAATCGTTTTAATTTTGCCTTGCACTTACAATTATGGACACGATCCTAACTTTTTTTTTATTCCATGCATTTGTCAGCTCCCGAGCAAGTTCCTGGTAGTTATAGAATTTCCCAAGCTTCACGTTTATTCTTTAATCTCCTGGTGTACAGTCACGTCTATGATCTGATGGTTTGTTTTTTTTTGTTTTTTTTTATACTCACAATGCTCAGATCCATAGTTCTTGGCTGGATGAGGTGGTCGGCCCGGATGCCTAACTTAAAAATTTTTATTATTATTATTATTATTATTATTATTATACCAATATTATACCAATGTATGGTGTGTGTCACGCTTGTTATCACAGATACTGAGAGAGAAACAGATAGAAAGAGGGACATAGGGAGTAAAGAAGACAGGGAGAGACAAAATGAGTGTGACACACAGAGAGAGACTGGAGGAGGGGGGTTCATCTTGAAGGCGATTGTTTGTAGTTACGAGTTAAATCATTTTTCGTGGCCTAACGATCTCTTGAGGACATTTCAGTATTTTTAACGGAGACTATGACAATTTTCTGAAAACTCTCTGGGAATGGCCATTGGTTGAAAAGTACTGAGCGTGCATTAAAAACCGATAAGTAAATACGTGTAATTTTCACGGGTCCTTCTAATTATTATTATTATTATTATTATTATTATTATTATTATTATTATTATTTCTTTTGATTTCTGTTGTGTACACATTTCTTTCCGGGTTCCGCCCACAGACCTAAGATCAGAAATGGCATCCACTGACCAATGAAAAAACAAAAAACAAACATATTTTACATAGATAAAACCCTTCGTATTTTTTTAAAATTTCTTTAAGGCATGGACTTCCAGGAATCTCTTCAATGAGTCTATTGGAATTTTTTCCAACTAATCCGAGGGCTCCAAATACAACAGGGATTGTTAATGTTCCCATATGCCACATTTTTGAGATTTCGATTTCAAGGAATAATAATAATAATAATAATAATAATAATAATAATATCTTCACTGGAAAATCTGCAACTTCTACGGGAAGGAAACTAAAAGAAATTGGTATGACCACCACCCAGATCCGGTTACGGAGATAGGACCTGTTACAATTCTATGGGACTACACAATACACACTGACAGAACAATCAAATCCAACCGTCCAAACATTGTTAGAGGACAAACAAAAAATTGCTTTCTTAATGATATGGTAGTCCCTGCAGACTGCAATGTATCTTTGAAGATCTTCAAAAAGCTATCAAAATACAAGGTGTATGTTTAGTGGTAATCTTTGGTGTGCAAATGACGTAAAGTTCCTCCAACGTCCTACAAATCTAATGTGTATTGTTGCAGATACAATTTACTGCAATATCTATCTAAAAATCACTACATAACAATTGAATTACGTCCCTTACTTGTGACGTCACAGACTACTGATGATATATGCATACATACGACAAATAAAGAATAAAGTTTTATGACTGATTTATTTTCTACGCATTATCCACCCTTTGCAGGTTATTTAAAGTCAGAAAATATTTTTATATTGAAAGAATTTTTTTTCGTTTGAGGTAATAATGATTCAATGATAGAATTCTTACTAATTAATCCATAGCTGGGGAGAGAAGAGGTGGAGTCATACCTTTCCCAATGGTAAGAGAATATGACGCACCCAACCATAATTGGAACTCGGCTCTCCGATTAGCAATTAGCCATTATCATTGGTGGTATTTTACCGGTTCGCGCAAACCGATTCTTAAAATTGTAAAAGCTTAGCGAACCAGTTGTTGGATTATCCGAAAATAATATTATATATTAATAACTGATGTATAATAGCTCAAAATATAATTAATACCATTGCTTTAAGTTCTACGGAAGCTGAAAGAGGGTTTTTCTGTGATGAACATAATTTATTCTGACAAAAGAAATCGTTAAAAATGTGGCAAATCTTCTAGTCATAAATTTGATAGGTCTTCCATTGGATCTTTGGGACTACAGTGATTCAGTTCAAATATGGCTAAGAAACCATAACACAGCTGATGACATAAGAGTCAAAATGCATTATACATCAGAACAGAAATATGATGAGAATAGAAATTCAATCTGAGAATATCTTAATAAATAAAGGTTTTCTATTAAATTATCAAAACGGTTTAATTCTTTTTGATACGATAGAGAGATTTGTTTCCATTATCAGATTGAAAATCCAAATAAGCAGAATACAATACTTACCTGCCTTTATAGAACTGGTTCCTGGAAATTTGAGATGCCATTATTGGTCATTATCCATTACCCCACCCACACATCCAAGCATACGGCACTTGGTATCCCCAAGCGGTCACTCATTTACATACTGACCAGGCTCGAATTTTTTATTTAATTGAGGTTAACGCGTGTGTTTCTTTGTTTTATTTTTATTATTAATGTATATCCACATTAAAATAAAAGCCTTTATAGCCACCTTCCATTCCACCACAAAAACAACTTTTCACTTTACGACCATCATCATCATCATCATCATCATCATCATTTCTCAAAACTACCACCATCATCAACGTCATAATTATTTCAATTATATTCTTTTATTTCAGGTTTTATTTAATTCTTTTTTTTTAATATCAGATTGTTTGCATAATTTGATTATATATATTTCTTTTAAGCTTTGCATTTTTTTTTTTTAATGCTTTATTTCTTGGGATTAATCTCATGTAACCCCCTCCCCGACCACCTGCATCTTTGCCGTCACTCCTCGTGTCGAGAAAGACGGATCGAAAACCCCAGAAGGCAGAACTTTAGGTGAATTTCCGCTTTTTGGTTCACTGCAAGTTCAATATCGATTGACGAGGGAAAAAACAGGTTTTGTGAGGGCGCCATTTAAAACGTTATTCCTCAATGGAGAATTTATGAATCGACAAAATAAAGAGAAATATTAGAATTCCACAATCACAACCCCTTTCTCCACATCTGGTTGTTTCTTGACTCTGCCATTCGCTATTCGTTGTCTTTCACAAGTTGCCCAGGTTTCTTCTTTGTGGATTTGTCTTTTCGTTCTTCCAATCTTTTATCAGTAAATTCCGATATAAGCCTTATAATTTGTAGGCGTTTAAATTTAAACAACTAGTAAATTATATTCCTTTGATCATTATCAATCTATCTATCTATCTATCTATCTATCTATCTATCTATATATATATATATATATATATATATATATATATATAATTCGCATGATTATCTATCTAGCGACTTAGCTAATTTTAATTATCTAATTTTCACCATTATCTATCTATCTATCTATCTATCTATATCTATATCTATCTATCTATCTATCTATCTATCTATCTATATATATCTATATATATATATATATATATATATATATATATATAATTCGCATGATTATCTATCTAGCGACTTAGCTAATTTTAATTATCTAATTTTCATCATTATCTATCTATCTATCTATCTATCTATCTATCTATCTATCTAATTCTCATCATTATTGTTGTGGTAGGATCCACCTAATTTGCATAGTGGAGTACCGACCATATAAATATGGTTGGTACCGGGAAGAGAGGGAGGAATCAAGAGATTCAACCAGAGACTCTGCTCGACTGCGACTCAGTCAACACATTCTCCAGGAACGGTCTTACCAAGAATATACAAAAAACTATATGTAAATATTGTGTACACGTTCTTGTTTCAATACATTTTTTTCTAAGTACATTTTGTGTTGCATTATTATTCCATGCATTAGTCAAGTTTCAACAATTATCTATCTATCTATCTATCTATCTATCTATCTAATTCTCATCATTATCTATCTATCTATCTATCTATCTATCTATCTATCTATCTATCTATCTATCTATCTATCTAATTCTCATCATTATCTATATATCTAGCTAATTCTTATTATCTATCTATCTATCTGTCTATCTATCTATCTAATTCTCATCATTATCTATATATCTAGCTAATTCTTATCTATCTATCTATCTATCTATCTATCTATCTATCTAATTCTCATCTATCTATATATCTCATCATTATCTATCTATCTATCTATCTATCTATCTATCTATCTATCTAATTCTCATCATTATCTATATATCTAGCTAATTCTTATCTGTCTATCTATCTATCTAATTCTCATCATTATCTATCTATCTATCTATCTATCTATCTAATTCTCATCATTATATCTATCTATCTATCTATCTATCTATCTATCTATCTATCTATCTAATTCTCATCATTATCTATCTATCTATCTATCTATCTATCTATCTATCTATCTAAACGTAAAATTTAATGAAGTTTTAATATCCATACTATAAAGCCATATTCCGGAATTGGCTTGAAGATACAGAGGAAGGTGTTTGCAAATCTGTGAGGGAACTGCGGTCTTTCGGTTTTCGGTGATGACCATAAATCATATAGTAGAAACATGCAAAAGCATGAATAATAATAATAATAATAATAATAATAAGAAGAAGAAGAAGAAGAAGAAGAAGAAGAAGAAGAACAACAACAATGAGAAGAAGAAGAAAAAGAAGAAGAATACAAGAAATGTAAATAAAAATAATAATTATAACTTTAATATTATCAAATGTAAAACTAGTTTTCTTAAAGAGCTGAGAAAATAAGAATGGAGTAAAATCATTCCAATATTCTCATCTTGTATAAGGGAAAGAAATTCTTTTAAAACGATATTGTTTAGGACAAAGATATGACAATTTTACAATATAATTTATATTTTTCTCCTTTTACTCCCCATTATAACGTTTTGGATCATGTCAAAAATGTTTCTATTTTTTTTCCTTCTTCATTTGTCTTGTATAATTTCATCTTACAATGATATTCTTTCTTTCTTTCTTTCTTTCTTTCTTTCTTTCTTTCTTTCTTTCTTTCTTTGTAAAAATCTTCTCGTTACATTCTCCTCTTTTCCTCCAATCCAGACAATTTACTTGAATTTTTCTTCTTCCTCATTTTCTTTTTTTAAAATTGAAGTTTCGACACTGATCGATTTTAAATCGCTTCTATCCTAAACTGGGCATTTTTTTTAACGTTCTGTCGCCTTTTCCTTTATCGTCTGCCATTGCTTTTATCAAATATGAAACTTAAGAAGTGATAGTAGAATAAGTACTTTAAATAGAAAAGCAAAATGTGTGAACAAACGGAAGTGACAAAGGGACCAACGCTCTTCTGTCTATAAAATTGCAAGATTCAATCAACAAGAATCCTTGCATCGTTTTCTTTTCGTATGCCATGTTGAGAATCGATAATTGAAGTCAACTACTTATATCTCGTTGACATCAAATGCTGAGAACTATTATCTACGTTAATACCAAAAGATCTCTACTGATTGAGTATATGGTTGTTGACGAGTTGCCGTTATTATTATAGAGTGACTCATAATGATGGGATACATTTTAAATGCAAGTATCTTGTATTATATGGTTGTTGACGAATTGCCGTTATTAATATAGAGTCATTAATATATATAAGGAAAACAACACATATATATTACTGCTTTCTGCGTCTTAAAGTTTGATGTGAATATTTCCGTGTTTCATGTTGATACTGTTGTCACACAATCCTCAGGCGGTAACAATGGTTTATCCCTTAAGGAACTGAGCTTCGGGTCACTCTAACTACCTGAGGAATTTGAGATAACAGCACCAACATCTAAGTGTCTCCAAGAAAGCAGTAACACATGAGTATTTAATTTTAATTTTAATTTTTGCTTAATACAAGACCCAGTCTAGGTAGAGGGTTACTGTGTTGACATACAGTAGCGTAGAAAAGGACAAGCCTTAGGACCACAGAGCTGTAGTCGACCTTCGAAGAAACCGGAAACCCAATCCTAAAATGGAAACAACGGATAAGCACCTACTCCTGTTCAAAATAACGGGGAGTTGTGTGAACAGGGCGATAGGCGTGACTATTTTACTTATATGTTTTCCTTGTTTTATTATATATCTACTGAGCTTAATTCGTTGATGGTGGCCCGCTGTACATTTTCTACTGGTGTTCCTGGTTGACTTTGGAACTTTGGTCAAAGCCAAATTATTTGGAAGCTGATTTTCATAGCAATCATACCACCACCACCACCACCACCACAACCAAATGGCCTTGTGCCAGTTTAAGCTGAGCTTAGTTACAATCTACGACCAGATGAGAAGAATCAATAGATGTATAGACAGATTAAAAATATCTATGGCAACTTAAAGTACTTGTGTTTCATTTAAATGTTTGATAATAAAAAAAATCGATCCGGTCAAAGCTAGAAAATAAAAACATTTTTATTTTTATTTTATCCTATGATCTTTGAGTGAAAATTATGTCGGTCACTTAAAATTACTTCATTATACAAATATATGTAGGTGGTCTGTGTGTTGGGGGTGGGGGTGAATACTGATGACGTTCATTTTAATTTTATATTTATCACCATGACCACTTGATATACGTGAATATAATCCCAATTGAAAGTTTAGAAAAAAATTATGAATAGGAAATAAAAGGAGTTTAATCTTAATAGGACTTTGCTACCAGATCGAATTAATCGAAGATTATTCGTTCATCTTCCAATAATTTCTCTTCATATATACACTGCTGGTCAAAATTTTAAGGACAATAAAAATAAAGAAAAATATATCTTTTTTGTGTTGTTAGATACAAACATTTATTTGAGGAGTGCTTCAAAATTTGAAAATAAGAAAAAGAAAATGTTTCATTTTCATTTTTCGAAGATCTATTCAAATATATCTCATAGCAAAAGCTGTATTTTTCTTTATTTTTATTGGCCTTAAGCTTTTTGCCAGTGTATATATATATATATATATATATATATATATATATATATATATATATATATATATATTTATTTTTATGCAAACTTAGGTAATCCGTATGGGTAGACCTGAGGAGGATGATATCCAGACAGCTCAATGTAAAATTCAGAGCAGATATGTTTGAATAAAAGACAGACAACGTTAGATTCAAAAAGCTGAAATGAAAATTTTTCATTTCACCCTTTTGGAAATAAAGTCTGGATGATCCAGACTTTGTTAAAGGGGTGATGGTGAAAAATTTTTCATTACATGGAATCTTAACGTGGTCTGTCTTTTAAATATTATATATATATATATATATATATATATATATATATATATATATCCATTTCAATTATAATAAATTATAAATTATAATCGAAATGGAGAATTAATAATCTCCGTCTACTTTATCTCTCTCTCTCTCTCTCTCTCTCTCTCTCTCTCTCTCTATATATATATATATATATATATATATATATATATATATATATACACCGTATATTTCCACGTATACGGAGTCTTTTAGGTAAGACAAGGTCAAAATATAGCAAATTTTCATGAGTTTATCATCTACGACGACTACTTATTGATTATATAAAAATGATGTTATTGGAAATGTTGTTTCTTTCTGTATCCTTGGAAATTCAAAATAAATGAAATGACAAAAGCCGATTTGATATTATGCTTTTCCTACACACGTCCCCTAAAAGGAATACCATTGTTTTGTTTACGTTTTATCACGTGATCTCTTGCGACAACTGATTCTTCTTCTTCTTCTTCTTCTTCTTCTTCTTCTTCTTCTTCTTCTTCTTCTATATCCAGACAGTTACAAACAACCTGGTGTGCTAATGGCCATTTACTTATACTTCATCGACAATCACAAAATACCACTAATAACAGTACGATAATAGTACATTCCATCATTGTGAACGCAATCATAACTCGATGTTTACATTTTCTCCCCTTAGCTTGAATGGATACAATTTAATTTCATTGATAATGGATAGGCAATTTATTATGAAGTTATGCCAGTAATATATAAGGTAGAAATGGTTTTATTACTTTTATTATCAGTTCATTTGATAATGTGAATCTTTTATGTAGGTTTTCGTATCGTGGCTGAGGTTAACCTATCGACAAACAACACTCAGAGTTTAAGGTTTTTTTTTAGAGTTATAGTACATAGACGAGAAGAAGTGGACTCATTAGCTTTCTCAAGGGCACCTGCGCGTGTGAACATAACGAACTCAACGGGAATTTAACAATTTCGACTCATTATCCATTACACTACCCATACATCCACGTTTACAGTACGTGGTATGCCAAAACGGGAAACCAGCATTCGAGAAATATTAGTTAAAAAATGAGTTCCCTGGTATGGATTTCCTGACAGAACAGACCGATAGACGTAATGAACATAAATAAAAATGAGCGTCTATTTCAAACACAGAATATCCACTACAATAACGTTTGCAAAAATAAAAATTTCAGATTAAAAATAAATTCACTAATTTTCTCTCTCTCTCTCTCTCTCTCTCTCTCTCTCTCTATATATATATATATATATATATATATATATAAAGAAAATTATACAGAAAAAACAAACAAAAATCTTAATATGAAATTATACTGTATTAATGTTAATATAAAGTCAACGTCGGACGTTTCGGTCTATTTTAGACCATTTTCAGGACATTATCATTTAAACATAATTAACGTTCACTTTATATTAACATTAATACAGCATAATTGCATATTAAGATTTTTGTTTGTTTTTTTGTATATTTTCTTCATACTGTCGGATCTATATCCATATATTTTTCTTATATATATATATATATATATATATATATATACTCATTATTATGAAATGGACAAAGTCCGACAATTATTTTAAGACATTTTTATGTTTATACATTTTTTATAGAAACAAATAATTAAGTAAATGCTCTGTTTATAATAAACAGTATTAACAACATTTACCGGCCTGAATGTCCGAGAAATTGTCATACCGATTTCGCTACAGAGGAGCATTCCGGTTAGCATGTTCGATTTTATCTATAAAAAAGAATGTATAAACAAAAAAATGTCTTAAAATTATTTTCCGACATTGTCCATTTCATAATGTGTGACGTCATTTGTTTACATTTGTATAAGCATTGAGCAGATATGAATGTACGGGAGAAAATCATGGAAAATTGTAGTTTAAAAACAGTAAAATCGACTTAGCTAACCGGAACGCTCTTCTGTGGCGAAATCGGCACAAGCACATCAGGCTATTTGACGGTTCCGTATAGGGTACAGGTTCGATTGCTGTCGGAGGACGCATATTTTCTATGACAATTTCTCGGACATTCAGGCCGGTAAATGTTGTTTAATACTGTTTATTATAAACAGAACATTTACTTAAATATTTGTATCTATAAAAAAATATGCATAAACATAAAAATATCTTTGTATGTATCAAGAACTAGTGAATTTATATATATATATATATATATATATATATATATATATATATACGTATATAAATAAAAAGATTATTGAAACATTATAATACTAGGTTTATATATAAAATAAAAGTTTACTAAATCAGTGAAATTAAGTAACCATTTTTGCCGTCATAGTCATAATTTAAAAAAAAAAAAAAAAAATGTAACCTCATATACATACTTAAACTTGATGTTAAAATAATCCTACATAATATAATGGATTCTAATACATTTAACTGTTCTTAAAAAAGAATATAGTAAAATAAAAATTAAAAAGGAGAATATTTCAAATCGTAGTTAAATAAAATGTATTAAAAAACCAAAAAAAAACCCGAAAACTTTAAATTTAAAAAGTGACGTTGAAATTTTTTTACCGTTAACAATTTTTTAAAAAAACATTCAGACGACATCCATTCAACTGATGTCAGGTTTCATTGTAAAATAACCCCTTAAATTGTAGCTAATTGATACAATTACTGACATAAGAAATCTAGACATTTTGTTCAATTTGTAGAATATTCTTAACCATGGAAATGTGATTTTAGCTGTGTCTTTAAAACCCGGTAATTTTTAAAAGTTACTCCAAAATTCGCTTGAAGATAAATGGAACTAATGCTTTAATTTAATTGCAAAATTAAATTCGGGGTTTTCTTCTATTTTTGAAACATGGTTGAACTGTGTAGCGAAAAAAACATATTTTAAATCAATTAATTTATAATATATATATATATATATATATATATATATATATATATATATATATATTAGTGAATAAACATAAAACGTTGATAATACTAATCGGAGTTTCATGCAGTTTATGCAATATTCATTAGTGTTATCGACATTGGATATTATGTATATTCCTAATATATTCTTATATAGTTCTGTTTCATATCACCGAGCACTGTGTTTGTAACACCTTAGGAATAAATATACTTACGTATGTGCAAGTATTTGTGCGTGAATATACATTGAAGATTGCAGAAGAGTGCATGTTTGAAAGAAACTCCGTGTGGGGTTATCGACGTTGGATATTATGTATATTCACTAATATATTGTTGTGGTAGGATCCACCTAATTTAATATTGGAGTACCGACCATATAAATATGGTTGGTACGGGGAAGAGAGGAGGAAAAAATTCAATCCAGAGACTCTGCCCGACTGCGACTAAGTCAACACATTCTCCAGGAACGGTCTTCCCAAGAATATACAAAAGACTATATGTAAATATTGTGTACACTTTCTTGTTTCAATACATTTTGTTCTAAGTACATTTTGTGTTGTATTATATTCCATGTATTAGTCAAGTTTCAACATATATACTTAATAGCTTTGTTATATAACATTGAGCACTATATTTATAACACCCGAGAAAAAAATATGTATATGCACGTCTAAGTATATGTGCGTATACGTATGTTTTTATCATATCCATATCTATCTATCTATCTATCTATCTAAATCATTTCATATCTTTATCAACCTACCTATCTATTTATTGCTGTCTGATCAGACCTATCTATCTATCTGTATTAATCCTTTCTTATCTATCTTCAACTTTTAATATCTATATTAATATTTTCATATCTACCTATATTAATGTTTTCATATCTATCTATCTATTGATAATATTTTCACATCTATCGCAGTCTGCTCATATCTATCTATCTATCTATCTATCTATATATATATATATATATATATATATATATATATATATATATATGTATAATCAAATGAATATATATGAATAAACTAGCAGTAGAGCCAGGCGTTGCTCGGGGATAAAAAACAGTAAGAGATAGATCAAGTATCCACCATCATAAAGACTGAAAAATAAAATTGACAAAGATTATTGTTTAAGGTTGACGGACACGCATGTCTTAATTAGTATTTTTTTTGTTTTGTTTTGTTTTTTTTACGAATTGGTCAAACCCAAACTCAAACAAAAACATTGTTTTCAATCGTCACGAGTCTCCTGATTGAATAGAATTTTATTATAAACAATTGTCTTGTAAATGGAATTTTTAAAGCATTCTGAATATTAAAAATAAAAGTCAAAGTATGCAAGAGAATAAGAAACACTACCTGCCAAAAAAAAAAAAAGGAATTTTTGTTTTATCGGTTGAAAAATGTAGGAAATCCGATCCCATACAAACAACCTGGGTTTTTAATCCGATGTGAGTTGTCCCCCTTTCATTCTCACGATGTCTCTTAATCGTATTTTCAAATTGATTTTGTGCAAAAACAATTGTATTTTTCACGTTTTTGGCGCTGTTAGAACCACCACAAGGTAATTTTATGTAGTCCTGTGAAGTTTTGTTGAAATCGGTTGAAAAATGTAGGAAATCTGATCCAATATATAAACGTACACACACACACACACACACACACACACACACACACACACACACACACACACACACACACACACACACAATCTGCGTTTTATAATAAGTAAGATGTACGTATAATTTTTCACATACGAATACATATATATGTATATCCTTTGGTGTAAGAAAAACAGTGCTCACTGTTAGATAACAGAGCTATTAAATATATATTTATAAAATGTATCGGGTGCGGCAAAGATATCACCCGATTTTATTTAAGTTTTATTGGACAAAAATAAACTACAGCGGTTTAAGAAAAGTATTGTCACATCAAAACAACATGATTTGTTATGATTTACAAACTATTTAACATGTTCAAAATGCTCCCCTTAATTCTCCACACATTTCTACAATAAATTCAATATACAATGCTGTTCGATAAAAGTGACTCACCTGATTTTTTTTTTTACTAAAAATATTTTTTGTCTATTGTTTTTGGGGTTAAAATAACTTTTAATCTTACTAATATAAAAGACACCTTCCCGACCACCTAGGAAAAAAGTTTATTCACCCTAAGGTATTCTATTGATAATTATAAATTTGGATATAAATAAGATTCAGGAAAAAACTC